GATGTTGTTAATTACTGCTGGCGACTTTTAAGAGTATTCTTAATAGTTTATTATACACCATTGACCTCAAAACATGGTGTTCCTCCGTAATAGGGGGAAATGGGATCGGGGGGAGGTCAGGGGAAAAGGGAAATTTAAAAAATCGCGTATCGACAGTTCAGTGTATCGTCGACAACCCGTATCGACGCACTGTTCTGAAAAGTCGAAATAGACGCGTAAACAACATCTTAACTAATATATGTTATTGCGAATAGTATATTATCACAGCCCCAGTGGTTGAGCTGGTAAGACGCCCGTCACGGATTGAGGGAGGTCCCAGGTTCGAATCCTGATTGGGGTAATATTTTTTGCAATAAGAATTTTAATTGCCAGATACGGTCAATAAAAATCATTGATGTTGTTTAGAAATTAAATTCTTTAAAATTAAGTTTCTTTAAATAACTTCTCTTCTGGTCGTGCATTTTTCGATACAATCGTCGCTCGCATATAGTTCGAAACGTACAAAATATCTGTCGGTGAAAAACCGACTACAGAAGGAGTTATCTTCCTTCCTGATCTTTGATCAAAATGACCAGATTGTATGGCCGGGAGCAACGAAAGGTAGCCCCAATCTGGCCCACCGAAGGACTAAATACGATGAGGTATGTGGTCAATATTGGCCACTCTGATGGAGTACCTAAGTAAGGTGCTGTACGAAGTATACTTTGATTTTTTTTGATTTGTCACAATTCGGGTGGGTTATGCTTCTATATACATACATTCTCGCATATGTGCGAGAGTGAAACCCCTATTAAATCCCGCGAGCACTTTAAACTCCGAGTCAAAACTCTAAAAACTCGCGTCGGGGTTAATTAAAGATTTGTAGGTTCATTATGTTGAAACACGGGTAGAAAATGGATAGGTAAGTCTATAGATCGGAATACGGGTAGGTAGGAATTCGGATAGTCAAGGATAGAGGGACGTAATTCGATATTGTAAAAGATTCGATAACATAAATTAACGAAGTAACAGTAACTCTACTTAATATATAATAAGTACGTAAAAAGAATTTCGTGTTATTGTACATGTACCGAATATTTCATGTATAACGTGGAGAGAAATATTAATTATAGGTATTGTACAGATATTATACTTTCCATTTTATAATGTCATTATTTCTTTTATAATATTGTACGTTTTGTAAAGCAAATTATAAGAAACACGAAATAAATAATAAATAGGTGACCCTCGCGTTACTTTAACGCATTTTTTCAAATGTTTTAATTAATAATTTAACATTATAATTCACATAACAGTAATATATTAAATTAATAACACATAAATGCATTAAACATTTAGTTAAAAAATTGTAATTGATACATTTTTAACAAAGAAATCAAATTTTCCACCTGTGTATATAATTCTAAATACATTCTGCTTTTTTATAAGCAAAGAATAGCAGGGAAAGGAAATCTACAAAGCGGAGCTTTCTGTGATTATGACATTCTTGCTCTCATTGTCAGTAGTTTGTTTTGACCATTCATGATGATCATTACGTTCCTCGCAAGCTTTTCTCGCCAGTTCCAAAAGATTTTCTGCCATCTGATTGCCCGTCTTTTGTACCATTTGTAAGAAGTAACCGCTCGGTTTTTCGCGCAACAGCTCGTAAGGGCAACCAAATTCCTGTTGAGGTAACAATTTTTGATTATCAAAAATGCAATCCAGGAAATTCGAAACTTACAAGATTTTGTATAAAATCTCTTTACTCTTTGTATATATAACACTAATAGTTTAAAAAAAAAACGTTTTATCCACCGATTGAATCAACAACATCAACTTTGTAAAACCCACGTTAAGGTATAAAAGAGAATTTTTTAAAAATTTCAAAATCTTGGATATATGTATTTCACATCATATTTTATTAACTTAATTTTTATTAAATGTCTTTTAAGCATTTTTTAATGCAAGAAACTGAAACATGAATGTATATTTTACAAAGTTACCTTTCTATATTCTCATTTATTCGTGAACATCCTCTTTTTCGAAAAATTTAAATTTGTCGTCAGAACAATTATTATAGAAACACAAATTCTTCTGTATATGTATAATTAGGAAGATACAAACATTCTCTAGTTGCGTTTTTTAAATCATTATTTTTACTTACATCTAGATATACTTTTTCAACTTATGCGTTTCATAAAATCGATGAGACCTACCACGATGGAGCCGTTTTCCATCACAATAATCCGATCGCTGTCTATAATAGTATTTAATCGATGTGCTACCGTGATGACGGTGCATTCTTTAAACTCGTTCCTTATAGCATCCTGAATTAAAGCATCGGTGCTAGAAACAGGAAAGCATATTTAAATCAAATTTAAATATATTAGGAATCGTTTACGATAGTGTCTTATAGAAACAGAATCTTTGTTAGAAATCAAATTAATTTTTTAATTTGGACTCTACTCTTCTTTTACATCATGAATTTACTCCAGAATAAATACTCGACCAATCAGAATCATTAGATTTTCACGAAACAACAATCAAGCACAACATATTGCTCTAGAAAACCGTATAAACTGACTGCATATCAATATTAGACGTAGCCTCGTCCAGAACTAGCAAGCGATTGTTCCTCAGGATAACCCTGGCCAGACATATGAGCTGCCTCTGGCCGCAGCTGAAATTACGTCCACCGGAAAAGACATCGTGGTCCAGTGCGATATCGTTAAGCTTGACTTGTCGCAACACCTCCCACAGCTTCATATCATCGTACTGACCGAACGGGTCCAGATTGTAGCGCAGACTCTCGGAAAAGAGCACCGGTTGCTGTGGTATGATGGAGATCTTGGAGCGTAGCTCGCTCAGGCTTACCGTACTCGTGTCACGACCGTCGATCTTAATCTCGCCCTCCAAATATTCGTTGAATAGACGGAAAAGTGCTGAGATCAATGAGGACTTGCCAGCGCCAGTTCGTCCCACTACCCCAACTTTCCATCCTGGCTCGATGGATACGTTCAGATTCTGCGAAGCCACCGCGTGAACAAAAAACACTAAAATGTGTCCGTAAAAATAAACGATCGGTTAACTTACTTTCAAGACCGGTGGATCGTCCTGATGGTACTTCAGACTGACGTTGTTCAGGATCAATTGTCCTTGAGACGGCCATGAGGACGGTGGCGGACTATTCGAGGTGATTTGGACCTCCTGAGGAAGATTCGTATATTCAAGAATTCTTTCCACGCAAGTCATCAGCGAAATTGTTTCGGAGAGCTGTCTCAGGCCATATTGCAAAAGACCGGACACGGCCAGAGCTTGTGATATCGCCAGACCTGCTATGCTTTCGCTTATTGCCTCTGCAGCAAGAAGATCAACAAAGAGACTTTAACAGCTCAAAGATTCGTTAAGATTATATAAACATATTTTCCGAAATGCTAATCGCAGGCAAAAATAAAAACGAACATACTGGAGTTTAAAAACTGAAAGGTTGTTTTATTCCGCTAATTCGTTATAGCTTCCTGCACCTTAATGAAAACGTTACAAAGAATATTCAATCTATAATAACTAGAAATGTTTGAATTAACCATAATTTACCATTTTCATTTATCAGTACTAGGGAGATGCAAATTATGACAACGAACAGGCACACGACGCAGTCCGTAACGAAACCAAAAGCTGACACACTTATTAAGTAAAGGTAGGACGTGCTGCTTTGACGATCTTGCAACATATGGAATTGTTTTTGCATCATTGTCTCGATTCCGGCGCCACTGCTTCTGATTGTTGGCAGACCATTCAGCGTGGCATTCACGTGTGTGAGTACCGGGCTCTTTGCTGAAAATGCAAACGCGAAGTTGAAAATTCATAGATCCTAGAGACTGAGTAAAACCTTAAAAGTTCATGGTTGGAGGTAAATCTTAAACGGAAACTAGAAGTACATAATATACGTAAATCACACGTAGCTTTTCTCACTTTTTTCTGATAACAAGTTACTCGGTCCATTACATACTTATGCTTTCGAGACGCCTGACGTTCTGCGCGAATCTCATAAAGAATTTCGTTGCAAAGTATAATAAGACCGCCAGTACTGCTATCGGTATCAATATCCATTGATTAAGTATCGCCTCCAAAATTATTACGCCACACAATATTAATACCACTTGAATCGATTCTAACGTCGTGAAGGGCAGCATCTCGTCTACAATGCCTACGTCCTTCGAAAATCTATTTAAAATTCTTCCTGAAACAAGAAAACCGGTAAATCTGAAAACGATTTAAGAGAAATCCGGAAATGGAAGATTATAGATTCGATAATTTAGACTTCTAAACAAATCGTCTTTCTTCACTTCTTCATGAAGAAATATATGAATTATTACAACCGCTCGATAAAATCGAACTCGATGAAAATATGTTTGTTTTCCTGTTTTCCTGTTTTCTGGATTAAAAATTTT